ATATCTTAGCAAAAGACAAGCAACTCTTATTTTGACACCTAGTAGGCAGCCCATACAAGTTGCCCAGTCTGGACTGGTGTGTGCTGCATTTTCTATACATTTTGGAAGGCTGGTGTCCTCTAAAGTTAACTGTTCTAACAACATCCCTTTCTCAGCTGCTAGGAAAATATTCTTCTATTTAATATTAAATGAAACAGATTTCTGCCAATCAGAAAATGTGAGTTTCTGAAGAGCAACAGTGCCATCTATGGGCCTTGACTAATCATTGGAAGTATGAATTTTATAACATTGGTAAATTGTCACTCTCCTAACTTTGCCCATGTTGTGCTGAGAGAGGATGCCACCTAGACTAGTCACAGCTGGGGATGGGGTGAGGGGAGGGCAGTTTTATTTTTGAAACAGCACAAGAGAAATATGTTAAGCCCCACTCTCTCCAGACTGCCCCACAATGTAACACCAGTACACATTTTCTGGAGGTGGGAGCGCTTGGAATATCCTGTCCTGGCTTTCCTAGAGTCGTGTTGGGTTTGGAACAAGACTTGGTTCACAGATACGGACCCCCCCCCCTCCAGCTACCCAGCTACAAACCACAAAATATTGTCCAAACAGAGCCAATTTTACGGAAGCTTCCTGATTTGCTATTGCTCGAGCAGCTTTATGGCTGTATTAATTAATTAATTAAGACGGCAACCCCAGTATCTTGATAATATCTAGTGGAATATTATGGGCGGACAAGGCTTAAATCCTCCAGTCTTTCCTGGCTGGAAAGGAAACAGCGGCATTTCAGTAGTACCAGGCGATCTTTAGAAGGCTAACGCTAATTATATCAAGAAGAACGCTGCTACCCGAAATTTTCGCTGCTGTTTTGGGCATGCTCTATTCATTTAGAATTATACATTAAAAGCTAATTATACGGCTTTTTAATTGCAACTAGCCCGCGCGCGCCTCTTTTTCCTTCCTCCTCCTTTTCCCTCCTAATACTGTGTTTGTCGTCTCTCTCGCGCACGCTCAGCGTAACGTCGCCGGAAAAGGTAGCTGGTTGGGGAGGAGTTGGCGCGAGATAGGAAAGTGCTTTTTGGTCTCTGGCGGGCGCGGGCGAGTTTGCAGCTCCGCCGGTTCAGCTGCGCGCGCTATTCATGGGGGTTCCTCCCTAGCAAGAGGGAGTTGCAAGGTCCAGTTCTTTCGAAACTAGTTTATTTGATTGGTTTGGACGCGGTAAAGAGCAAGATGTCCCGCGGGTGAGTTGGATCGCTTGCATTCGGGGCAAGGCGCCTGTTCTGGAGGGACCATGTCTTTAGAATTCTTTGGGAAGGGGGGACCCCCCCCCCTTTTTGGCAGCTTCTCCCCTGCTATTAGAGCAATATTTTCTGTAATTTTTGACCAATCCCCCATTGTGGTGGCTCATGCATGAGAAATAAGATAATTCAGTTCAGTTTATTTCGAGACGAGTTCATTTCGAGAAGTATTAATAAAAGCAATAACTGCTTCAATCATTTCATTGCGGGGTGGGGAGTGGAAGCAGCTATCATTCATCTGCAGCGGGCTGGGGTGGGACTCTTTAAGGTGATCAAAATGGCCTGCGTGGAAGAACAGAAGGGCGGGTGGCCGGGAGAGGCAAACAGCTGCATTTCTCCCCCCCCCCCGCTCAATTTTTTTTCATTAATTGGATGTTGCTTTAATTAGGAAGGGAAGCTCCGCTATGGCAACGTGGCCCACTGTCGAAATGGGGTCAGCTTCATGTTCCTTTCACCTCCTCTTGCTTAGGGCCTCTTGGTGCCAATGAACTGCAGGATATGAATACAGGGGTACTTGCAAAGACTGAAATGGTTGGTTTGGGTAATGTTGTTCCAAGGGTGCCAATGAACTGCAGGATATGAATACAGGGGTACTTGCAAAGACTGAAATGGTTAATATGTTATGGGTAATGTTGTTCCAATAAGAATTTACTGGGGCAGGCTCCAAGTGTAGTATGGGGGAGAAAGTGTTTTTTTTTTATGGCTGTTTGTTAAGGACTGCTGTGAACTCGCATCCAGGCTAATGTAAAGAATATCCAGGTACCCTGAGTTTATAGCTGCCTAAATGCTTGAATGGGGCCTGTTTGAGTCCACTTAGTATTAGAACATGCTTGGACTTCAGTGAGCTTTCAGGGGAAGAGGATTCCAAAGCTCAGGGGCAGCCACTGTGGCCTCCATGCTCTTGAGGTTCTGGTGTGGTGAATAGAATTAGTAGTTCTACCACAATATGTAGTATGTATCCCCCTTTTCTGCCTCCCCATTTGCTCGTTTCTAATGGTGACTTTCCAGTTGAGGCTGCCATTCTAATCATACATGAGGGAGTAAGTCCTGTTGAACTTTTTACTTATGAGTAAGCATACCTAAGATCGCACTGCACCATGTGTATTCAAGAGCAAGTCTCCTGGAGGTATCTTCACATGCCTTCTGGACTCACATTCAAGTTGGTTGAAGTTATTGTTTAACACACACACACACAACAATCCCTTCTAAGCATGGATTTAAAAGGTGATTGCTCTAATCCGTACTGGTGGTTGCAAAATGTGGCGGCTGATGAAAACCTGACCCCAATTATTTTCCCTAACCAAAGTGATGTGAACTGGAACTGTGAGCTGCCCCATGAATAAAGTGATGGAGAGAGTTGAAAATCCAGGGTAACACTTTCTCACACACACACACTGTCTTGTTTGTAGAAGTGAAGAGCAAGATGAACTACTGTACCAGGACTCAGATGTACCAGAACGGCGGGATAACCGGTGCAAAGTGAAGTGGACGCGTGAAGAGGTAAGGAGAATGGCCAGGGGTGCTAAAGCAGGAGTAGGCTTGGTTGGAAGCCAGGTATGGGAAGGCTCCTTGGAACATGGGTTTGTGCTCATCATTCCTCTCTGTCTGCCACTCCTTTCTTAGAGGAATGGTGAGAATGGTTCCTCCTAGCCTGGCCTGTTCTCTGTCTGCTTTTTGCCTCCTTTCTTAAGCATTGTTCTCCACTGTCATGAGGGCTAGGAACTTGACTTTTAAATGCAAACAAGCCCTGATGTTCTCAGTATGTGAGATTTTGCACTTACGGGATACATTCCAGACATTTGAAATGCATACAGACAACCTTTGTTGCCCATACTTTGTCAAATTATAATAAAGGAATAGACCGATGCACTTGTGAATGACTTTGACGTAAAACCTTGTCATCTGTGACTCAAGTCCGAGCTTATGCTGTCATCTTGGCTGCAGCTTGAGCAGAAGAGTTACACCTAAAAGGGCATCCGGTCCTTGACAGACGAGGCAGAGCAGTTGAGATTTTGCCACTGCACTAGCTTTTTCTTACAGAAAAAAATGCATCTTGTTTGTGGTTCAAGATTCTGTTTTGGCATGCTGTGGCCCTGGCTGCCACATGTCTACAAACCTCCAGTCTGCCAACTTATTGCCCTTTGAGTATAAGAATAACCCTTTCCACAAAGTATGACCATGTGTATTGGAGCCCACTGATGGGAATGTGTGCTACCCTAGAAGCTCCTGATACTTACAGTCACCATTTTATATGAATAGGGCCAATGCATTGATTTTTCCAGGAACATAGTAGGTAGCGTACACTTCTGTTGGTGGGCTCCGAGTCCACATGAGTGTAACATGTTTAAATAAGTAAAATAGGATGTCTTTTGGTAGATGCGTATGTGAATGGCTGACCACATCACTCTTTACAGGATGAGCTACTGAATTCCCTGGTGACAAAGTATGGACATGACTGGAAGTTCGTAGCAAGTCATTTTCCTGTAAGTGGAGTTCTTCAGCAAAACAGCAAGTTTTCCTTGTGCTATTTTGTTGGGAGCTTTTTTCAGAGTGAAGAAAGAGAGCACAGTTACCCTTACCAAAGTTCTAGTTGGCTGTTGGAGAATTCTCTCTCATAATTTTGACTTTGCTTTTTGCCAGTCTTTCCTCTAACTTGTATCTCTTGGAATTGACTTTTGCAGAACCGCACTGAACAGCAGTGTCAGTACCGCTGGCTAAGGGTATTAAACCCAGTCTTGGTCAAAGGTCCGTGGACCAAACAGGAAGACCAGAAGGTAATTTATTTCCCAGTGTTGACTTTCATAGTCCAAAGGCAAAATATCAGTCTTCGTTCTAATGTTCACTTACCTCTGCAGGTAAAATGTCTTTGTAGATTGGAGAGGCAGCAAAATCTCTGCGCGTTCTTCCACCGCGACAGGGCAGAAGTTAAAGGAAGATTGCAACTAACCTTTAGAAATGCATACTGTCCTAACTTTCCCACTGTGGGGAGGATAGAGAAGATGAAGAAAGATGAAGGAGGGGGGTGATGAGAAAGGAAAATAAAAGATCTTCACAGTATGACAAATATATCTGCACAAGATCTCCCTAGCATCTGTCCAGATTGTTTAGGGAGGCTCGTTCTTGTTTTGCTTATCTTCTTAGTGCTGCTGGTTTGCAGCCTACAGGCAAACTCACATTGTATAACCATTCTTTTTGTTTTCCCTAAATAAGGTGATAGAATTGGTGAAAAAGTATGGCACAAAGCAGTGGACGCTCATAGCCAAACACTTGAAAGGCAGGCTAGGAAAACAGTGTCGAGAACGCTGGCACAACCACCTGAACCCTGAAGTGAAGAAATCATCCTGGACAGAGGAAGAAGATCGCATCATCTGCGAGGCTCACAAGGTTCTGGGAAACCGATGGGCCGAGATTGCTAAGCTGCTTCCAGGGAGGTAGGTTCTACATCCAAAGGATCTGGAAAGGGAGGGCTGAATTGACCAGGAACATGCTAGGCTGTTTCTCCTTATGGTGACTCCACTTGCTACCCATGATGTCTCTTTTTACAGGACTGACAATGCTGTGAAGAACCACTGGAATTCCACTATCAAAAGGAAGGTGGACACAGGAGGCTTTCTTAATGAAACTAAAGAATCCAAGCCCCTCTATCTGCTGGTGGAGACGGAAGGCACGGAAAGCCAAACTGTACAGGAAGCTGCAAGCCAGGTGTTGCAGACTTTTGTCTCTCTTTCCCCACCCTAGGAAATTAGCATTTGTATTACCTTAGTGTGGCAGACTTTGAGTGTGGGAATTGTCACAACATTAAGTGTTTCTTTCTGTAGATATGGATAAGGGTGCAAACATCAGTTTCATTTGTGCGGTATTTTGTTGGACCACGTTTAGTCCTGTAGGCAAATCTTATCATGGCTGAAATACGTCAGCTTTGTAATCGCTCAGCTAGTTCTTTTTTTGAGGCATGGCTTTGTCTTTGGGGCTGTGCCTCAGTGGAAGGGCCTTTGGTTTGCAAACAGAAGGTCCCAAGTTCACTTCCCAACATTTCCAGTTAAAAGGACCTGGCAGCAGGTGATGTGAAAATCTCTGCCTGAGACCCTGGAGAGACCTTGCCAGTCTGAGTAGCCAGTACTGACCTCAATGAACCAATGGTCTGATGCAGTATAACAAGGCAGCTTCACGTGTCTTGTAGTTTAACAGCACCCAACTCTTGTAGCTGAGGGGGGGGGGGGTTGAGAGTTGTAAGAAAGATTTGATGGAAACAAAAATAGAAACAAAGCTGCGTGCCTGCTCTTTTGTGTGTGTGTGTGTTATTTTGGCGGGATCAGCCAAACCAAAATAAAACTTAAGACCCAAACAAGAGACCTAGGTATTACAATTAAATCAATAATGAGTTAGAATGTGGAATAAAGTATCCATTTAAATGTAATGATAACCAATGTAATGCACACGAAACATAAGTCTAGCCAAAAGGAGTAGTGTTGAACTGAGAATCTGGTTCACGTATGGTTTATTTTTATTTATTTATTTCCGCATTCATATCCCACCCATCCCGTAAACGGGCTCAGGGCAGGTTACAACATTTTAATAAATACAATAAAATTTAAAACACATTCAAACATATAAAATCAGTAGTCATGCATGCCATAGGGAGAATCTGGCCCATTGTTGTAACTGGGTATGGCCGGTTATCAGTAGGTGGGAGACCGCAACCTCGTGGGGGCCATATTTGGACACCCGCTGCCTCAGCCAGAGGCCTGGCGGAACAGCTCCATCTTGCAGGCCCTGCGGAATTGCATAAGATCCTGCAGGGCCCTGATCTCATTAGGGAGCATGTTCCACCAGGTGGGGGCCAGGGCGGAAAAAGCCCTGGCCCTGGTTGAGGCTAGGCGGATGTCTTTTGGGCCAGGGATCACCAGGAGATGTTGACTCTCAGAGCGTAACGCTCTCCGAGGCGTATATGGGAAGAGGCAGTCCCTTAAGTATGTTGGTCCCAAGCCGTATAAGGCTTTAAAGGTACTTAGGTAAAAAGGCTTTGAAATGACACACACTTCAGAAGTATCGTGTTGGTTTTATGCATCTTCTGTATGGAGCACCAATGAAGCTTCATCTGCCTCTGTCCAGTGCAGTTTTGGCCTTTGCCTCATGATTTTACTACTTGACTTGGCAACCTTGAATGTTCTTTGACTGCAGCAGATTAGTTGTATCATTACATGCTACAACAGAAAATTATCTTTTGGTTTCCCACAGCCAGCATTTTTAGCCAACTGGCCTGTGAATGCCTTGGAAATCAAAGAGGAGGAAGCCAATACTGAAGAGCCAACTGGCCTCCACCAACTGCCTTCTGAGCAACCAGCTGTGGGCCTGGAGCAGGACAATGCCAAGGAAGTCTCAGAAAACAGAGTGCCCCATGATGCTTTGGGGGAAGATTCTCCATACACGTGGGTGGTAGAAGCTGGCAGCTATCTGTGTCCTGCTGTTCCATCCATTACAGAAGCTCTGGATATGATTGAATCTGTAAGAAGTGGAATGTTGTTTACTTCCATAAGACAGTGCACTGGTGGGGCCTGCATTTTGGGGCTATGTTGAACCTTCTGTACTTTTCTGCAGCTGAACATCATAACCTTTGGAATTCTTCTTTTCCTCCACCTTCCAACCTTGAGATTTTAGTTTACATGATTGAAACAATGCCAGTATGTGTGGGAAGGCATCTAAATTAAGCCAAAAACACTTCAGTGCTGCAGCATGTGTTCCAGTTGGTAGGCTGTAAGTTGAAGTGCAGGCCTAAGCAGAGTTATACCCTTATAAGCCTACTGACTTTGGTGGATTTAAAAGGGTGTAACTCTGCTTAGGACCGTGCTGTGAATTGTGCATTAAAGAGTCTGCTCACTGCAGTATATCCTTGAAAGTTTTGTATGGTTGTTGGAGCTGTTAAGCTTCATGCAGATAGTGTGTTAACTTGATGCAAATATAAGCAGTGATTTAGTTGCAGATTTTTTTGAGTTTTATGATTCATATTTATTGTGTTACTTAGTCCTAAGGAAACTATTGTGTGTGTGTGAAATGAAACCTTGTTCCAAATGCTGTGGTCTTATCAGAGAAGAGTCACTTGAGAGTAAGGTCTAATAATATTACTGGGGCTCTCTATAGATATGTGAGGATTCCGCATCTAAGTATGAACATTAAAAATATAAGAACACAATTCAATACTAATGACAGTGGTCTTTTCTATCCCTTCCCTCCTCTTCCTTTTTGTTGCATCATTCTTTGGCATGGGAGGGGCTGTGGCTCAGTGGTAGAGCATCTGCTTAGCATGCAGACAGTCCCAGTCCCTGGCATCTCCAGCTAAAAGGATGAAGTTGGTGGTGATGGGAAAGATCTCCAGTTGAGACCCTGGAGAGCTGCTGCCTGTCTGAGTAGACAGGACTGACCCTGATGTATCAAGGTTCTGGTTCAGTGTAAGCCAGCTTCATGTGATCCTGGGGTAAATCTCTACCGATGGAAAGGATTTCTGTAAGCTGAGTGGAATTTTACCTTCTTGTACAACCTGCTTCTTCAGGACAGGGGACCTCCAGGATTATTATGAGGGGGTCGTTAGAGGTCTGCAAGTGGGCAGGGGGTATTAAACCTCTCCCCCACGAATGGAAACTTTCTGCAGTTTTACCCTTTGTTTCTGAAATTTTTTCTTTTTTGGGTCAGGACCCAGATGGCTGGTGTGATCTTACTCAGTTTGACCTGCCAGAGGATCCCTCCGCAAGCAACAGCCTAGATAGCCAAACCTCCATCAAGCCTTACTCTTCCTTGCCAAATGTGACTGCGTACCGTTTGGATGGCCACACCATTTCAGATCTGAGCAAAGGCAGCAAGGGTGAGCTCATCCCCATCTCCCCACGCACCGACATGACGTTTGGCACACCGCCCTCCGTACTCAAGCGGCAGAAGAAGAGAAGAGTCTCCCTCTCGCCAGTCACAGAGGGTGGCACCGCTACTAGCCTCTCCTTCCTGGACTCCTGTAACAGCATGACCCCCAAGAGCACCCCTGTCAAGAGCACCCCTGTCAAGACACTGCCATTTTCCCCTTCTCAGGTGTGTAGGTATAAAATCTGATGTGGAGGCACCAGGGATGTCACAGTGGCTGTCAGCATTTTGTCATGTAGCCAGACTGCCATTTATATTCTATATGTGCTTGGATCTAGATGCAGTGACCAAATGCTTAGAACAGGGAATGCCCAGTCTTGTGAGAACTTGTGGAATTTTGGGACCATGGAATGGGTGCCATCACAAAATGGCTGCCATGGTGGCGGAAACCAGTCATGAAATGCTGGGTAGTTGCAAGCCACATATTCTCCTGGAATGGAGGCAGCTCTTTGTGAGTGGGTGTACCCTGTAGACAGAAAGGTGTTCTTCTGGAGCATCTCCTACTCCATTGAGGTAGAGGAAAGCCAGGACTGGGTCTTTGCTTTGGGGGAAGAGATACTTTCTCAAAGATGCAAATGGGTGCCAGGAAACAGATTGGCCAGTGTTGTGGCACCCTTGGGCACCAAGTTATGTATCACTCACTTAGAGTGTACTTCTGAAGGCTTTTCTGTCTTCCAATCCTGCCTGAAATGTACCAAATTATGCCTGCAGAGCTTCTCATTTGTGGGAATTGAAGGGAAATTGATAAATCCAGGCGCTACCTTAGATCCTGCTTTTTCAATTATGTTTTAAGTCATGGTAGTTAATCTTCAGTCACTTGAATATCTTATGCATGAATTGGCCACTTCCAGGAAATATCAGACTAGGCTTTGAACCTCATGAATGACAGTGAAATAAAGGTTCCCCATGTTAGGTTTCTGGAAATGGGAGCCTTTCTGGGTCTTAAATGTAACATGTAAATTTGCCCTTGGTTGCATTATTTTGATAAATTATCAGCTGGCCTTACATAGGGTTTTTTGTGGGGTTTTTTTGTATTTTTTGGTATTTTTTATGTGTGTGTGCGTGTGAGTGTACCTGGAAGTCATGGCAACCTCTGGTGACTGACCCCTACTGGGGGTCTGGAGGATATTCAGAGAGGTGGCTGAATAAAGCCTGCCCCTGCCTCTGGTATTTCAAGGAGGTCTCCCATCCAAGTACTTGCCAGATTCGACCTTGTTTAGCTTCTGAGATCTGGCTTGCCTGGGCTATCCAGGTCAGGGCAGTAGTTCTTTGTTGTTGTTGTTTTTACTTGATTTATTTTTGTTTTAATTGGTAGTAACTTACTGCTGAAAATTTCTAGTATGTGGAGTCTGTGTTGTCAAAAGCTGCAGGTGCTAGTAGATCAAGATAATTTTGAGATTTTCCCTCATTCTAACACCTTCCACTGGATATATTCTTGGCTTTATGTTTTTCTATGCATCCTGTGAAATGGGAGCTACTGATCTACATCATATAGGCTTGAGTAGTCTTCTTTGGCACGAGCATAAATTGTAATTTAAAGGTAAAGTGAGACCAGGTATCTCATGTTCACACACAAATGCTGGGGAAAGGTATTGGATTATTCCTGGATGCTTTCTGCTGTAATGCTGCACTCCCAGCTGTCTGGAAGACCATGATATGCTTGCTGGAGACAGTAGAATCTGTATGCCATTGAAACATTACCTCAGAAAATTTGGGCATGCATCCTGGACAAATGTCACACCGAAGCTTGAGGTAAATGTCTTACTTCAGACTGCCTGTTGTTGACCACTGTATACTTCATAATGTCAGATTAGGACTAGATGTGTTTTTTGCCCTCAAAATGCAATTTAATTTGACATAGAAATGTCATCTCTGTTGCTTGTAAGGGATTATGCAAGTATACTTTGTGTCTGCAAAGTACTTAGGATCCATGATGTTTTGACACAGAAGAAGGGAAAGTGTAGAGTGTGGCTGGGGGTGGTGTGGAAGGCAGGTTGTTAGTAGCTACAAGGAAAGGTAGAGAGTTCTGTAAGGTCCAGTTCCATGAATACATAACTGCGTCTGACACTAAATAAAATTATGATTGCCCTTTTGTTGAGTGGTGTCATTTGGAAAGTCACTGTAGCCTTCCTGTCACGTCTCAAAAATACCTGTAGTTTAATCCTCCCCCCCCCCCAATTCCACATCAGGCCTCCCTTGCTGTAAACTCTCTCTCTCAGTTTACCTGTGGTGAATGTTTTTTATTTGGCAGTTCCTAAATTTCTGGACCAAACAAGACACTCTGGACCTTGAGAACCCCTCATTAACCTCTACACCTGTGTGCAGCCAGAAAGTAATAGTGACCACTCCATTACACAGAGACAAGACACCATTGCTCCAGAAAAATTCTGCGTAAGTCATTGTCTTATCATTCTCTCCTTAGTTTATATCCTTCAGGCAGGAATGTCGTAGTTTGACCAACTGTGTTATCACTGGGCCCAATGTTATATCCAGAAGCACCTCATTTTATGGCAGTAGTGGTGATCAGCTGGCATGGTTCTAGATGACATCACTGTGCACCTCACATAAGCCACACTGAGCTCCTACAGAACGGGTTTCAGTGTTGTGCTATCAACAGCTCCACCCCATCCCACAATGTTGGCTTTCAGTATCCATCCCAGGGCAGCACTATAATTCTCTGAAGTTTGGTGCCAGGCAAACAACTGTGAGGATTCAGTTCCAAAGCTGAGGTGCCACCACAAGAAAGGCTCTGATCTCTACTAGCCACCCATCTGGCCTTTGAAAGTGGAGATGGGTGGAAGAGGGCTTCTGTAAGTGGCAGGCATTTTGTGTTGAAGCAGGTGGTCCTTCAAAGAATGGAATGAACTTTTCTGGTAGCCAGTATATTACAGGTGCATATGGTGGTGTTATGACTAATGGTTCCTTGGAGAGTGTGTTTGTAAGCTACTGCAATTCTTGAACTGAGAGGTGTATAATCTTTCCTTTCTCTGCATCTGCTGCTTGTGACAGCCAGAGCCTCACTGTAACTTGAGGGAAATTGGCCACAAGGGAAATGGTGTGACTAAGTAGGGGGAAGCTGAGGTTGTATGTACCCCAGTTTACCAGGAGTTCAGGCATGCTAATTGCTTGTGCTATGCCATAAGTTTAAAAATCTTTGTACGCTGTAGTCTCAACTAATTGGTTTTACTGTTTTTTTGTTTTTTTTGTATTGAATACAATTGGCTGCCATTTCAGAAATACAACAAAGGCCAGAAGTAAAACTTCACTAAAGTTTTGTTAAATACCATATGTCTTAGGGAGTAGTAACATGAAAAAAACCAGAACAGCGGGGAGAAACAGGAAAAAACAGCTGTTTTTAACTTGGTTCTTGTAGCAACAGATGAACTACTATAATTTGCCTATTTGAAAAGTAAATCTTTAATTGGCCAATTGATGTACGCATGTCATAATAGTTCTGGATTTTGTGTGTGGGGGGGGTTAAGATAATGCCTGTCATTCCTTACTGCTTGTCAGGAGGCAACATCATGGAAAGGCCTTGGCCTCTGCTCTATTTTTTTGCCATCTAGGATAACTTTTTCACCATGCCTAGTTGGAACCCGCTTGTGTCATCTTATTTCCACTGTGAGATTAAGAGCAAACAATAGGAACCCAACTCTCTGGAAGACTGTGTATATCTGCTGAAGGGCCTGAAGTGATTTGTGGAAGGTTTTGTTATTTCACTTATTAGAAACTGGAGAAAGCATGAGGGGGAAATCCATTGAATTGTTGTGGAGTCAGAAGAGCACTGAGATAGCAAAACCTCCACAGGGTGGTTTTGTTTTTGTTTCTGACATGGACACTGTTCATGCTGACACTCCAAGATTCATCTTGGATGGGATCCACAGTTAAAACTCCTTTCTGGCTTGTCCCATGTTTCGGAGGCATTCCAGAAAGGGATCGCCTTTCTGTGACACCTCTGAGTATTCTCACGCAGACAGTCCCTGTGCAAAGTAAAATCACCCAGTGGTGATTTCATATCTGCATTTGTTACCTCCATTTGAATCCTCTCATGAACTGAAAATCCAGAACTCTGAAAAAAAAACCCCACTTTCTTTTGGCTTTCAGGTTTGTGACACCTGATCAGAAATATGTAACAGACAATACGCCTCATACGCCTACACCTTTCAAGAATGCTCTGGAGAAATATGGTCCACTGAGGCCCTTGGTATGTATGTGGCTGTCCCATGAATCCTTCCTACAGAGTGTTACGTTGTGCTTCTCATGTTTTGATCACCCTAGGAATCCCACAAGAAATGGGCTCCCCCCCCCCCCCCCCCAGTATTTAGGAATATTCTCACATTCAGCAGAAATAAGCTTGGTAGGAAAAACCAGAAGGCTTTAGAGTTGGCTAATATCGTTCATGTCTGCTGAGCTACTAGTGCTGGTTTAGGGTTGTTCAGTCTAATGGTGCTCTGGCTGTCTAAACATTTTTATCTAATAGCAAAAAGCAAGATATCTGAGCCATCCACTTTGTTCATTTGTGACCCTCTCAACAAACAAAGTAACGAAAACGAAACCCAGACATTTTATTTGCTTTTCCTGTGTTTAGGAATAAACAAGTTTCTCAGTCCACAAATATTAATTCCCTTATAGCTGCTAACACTGTTAGCCAATGAAACAAATTTATGTGGACTTTATTTTTCTGCCTTTTTGTCCTTGGTAAGGTGGCTCAAGTGGTTAAGACACTGAACTGCAGGCTGTGGAAGGTCGGTAGTTCAGCAGTTCGAGACCCGAGTGTGCCACATGACGGAGTGAGCTCCCGTCTCTAGTTCCAGCTCCTGCCAACCTAGTAGTTCGAAAGCAAGAAATTGCAAGTAGATAAATAGGTACCACTTCAGTGGGAAGGTAACAGCGTTCTGTGGGCCTTGGTGTTTAGTCATGCCGGCCACAAGACCACGGAAATGTCTTTGGACAGCGCTGGCTCTTCGGCTTTGAAACGGAGATGAGCACCGCAACCCTAGAGTCGGATTCGACTGGCTTTCGAGCAAGGGAACCTTTACCTTTAAGGTTAACTATTTTGAGGTGGTTAATACTCCCATAGCTTCTAGGCTCTTGCGAGGTGTTTTTTTTTAAGTAACACTTCCATCGAGTTCACGAGGTAGCTCTCCTCCCACCCTCACCCTTTCCAAATACCTGAGCAGTAGGTCTGTTTGGTGAAATTTTAGGACATGTAGTAACTGGGTGCTCAGCGAGTCTCCCTTACCCCAAATCCATCTTGCTAGGGGCTGATTTAAACAGCATGACTTCTGTGTGCATCACCATTTAAGAAGCCTCATCTGTGGTGGTTATCCACACAGCTATGCGATTAACTTGCCTTCTACACAGATTTATACGAACAAACACACATATGAACACATGAAGCTGCCTTATACTGAATCAGACCACTGGTCCATCAAGATCAATATTGTCTACTCAGACTGGCAGCAGCTCTCCAGGGTCTCAGGCTGAGGTCTTTCACATCACCTACTACCCGGTCCTTTCAACTGGTGATACCAGGGATTGAACGTGGGGCCTTCTGCATAGTAAGAATAAACCACAGCCCCTCCATGCAGTGCTCATGAGCCATCACAACAACTGATTGAGTGTCATTTTTTTTGGGGGGGGGGTACATGGGGTAAGATCCTCTTAGATGTTAGGGCATGGAGGACGTTCTGCCTAAATCTGCCTTCACTTTCAACTTCCAAGACTCCCAGTGTCTCTTAAGAGGCTTTTCTCTTTCCACCCCCCCATTTTCTTGCTGAAGTAGATGAAGGAAGATTGTCTACAGAGGAGCTAGCAATGGGGAAGCATGAACTAATTAATTTGTTTCCCTTATGGCCTCTTTCTCAAGGGGCATACCAAGTTACAAGAGACTCAAGGGGGATACCAAAATACAATGCAAATAAAGACAAAATTATACAAATAACAAATGATGCAATGAAACTACATTGTAAGCTTAAGAAAAACACACTTTAAACAATAGACTGCCTAAAATTTAACAGAATGAATCTTATGCAGATGGGGATTGTGCTTTGCAAATGATGGTGGGAAGTGCGCTGCTTTATAGAAGAGTAGGTTTTTATACCCCTCTTTACCTTAAGGGGAGTTGAAAAAGTGGCTAACAATAACCTTTCCGTTCCTCTCCCCACAACAGGCACTTTGTAAGGTAGGTGGGGGCTGAGAGAGTTCTGAGAGAACTGTGATGGCCCAAGGTCCCTCAGCAGGCTTCACATGGAGGAATCAAACCTGGTTCTCCAGATTAGAGTCCGCCACTCTTAACCACTACACCACACTGGCTCTGAGTGTGTGTGTACTTCAAAAATTGAATTAGATGCTGCTCTGCCACTGACTTCTCACGTCCTCTGGTTTCTCCTCTTTTGCATCGCTAATCCCAGCCACCAACACCTAGCCTGGAAGAGGATTTGAAAGAGGTTCTACGGAGTGAGGCTGGCATTGAGTTGATCATAGAAGATGATGTGAAGCCAGAGAAACAGAAGAGAAAACAAGGCGTAAGTGTCTCTGTAGTCTATGCCGTTTTGTGTTTTTATTCAGACTTATAACTCCTAATGTGTACATGCTTAGGGCACTATTGAGAAGAAGGAAAAGAGAAGAGATTGGGTAAGAGATTGTTATCGCGCTGCAGAAATGTGGGGACATAGCCTGTTTTGCTGTAGAAGATGCCTCTTGCTGTGAAGGCTTTTCAACGATGAAATAAATGTTCTGGTGTCCAGAGGGCAAGAGTAGATCTAATGGGCTTACATTACAGGAGAGTAAATTTCAGCAGGAGAAACGTCATAACAGGCCGTTTAGTTCAACAGTGGAACCAATTCTCTAGGAGAGGGTGATGGACTCTCCATTACTGGAGGTCTTCAAGCAGAGGTTGCTGGGCACATAAATCTTAACTGGGAACACTGTGTGTTAGTGGTGTATTCTCCATGGCCTTCTGTGCTTGGCACTAGTATAGTAGGAGTTTTGCTGCCAACTATCGCAAATGAAGAAAGCTTACAGGGAGAAAGTTGATTGTTTTGAAATGTGGTGTTGGAGGAGAGTTTTATGGATAATGTGGACTGCCAGAATGACAAATTAGTGGGTTCTAGATCAAATAAAACCAGGACTCTTCCTAGAGACTCAATTAACTAAACTAAGGCTATCGTACTTTGGTTATTTTATGAGGATATAAGAGTCACTGGAGTAGACAATGATGCAAGGAAAAGAGGAAGACCCAACATGAGATGGATTAACTCCATAAAGGAAGCCACGGCCTTCATTCTGCAAGACGTGAGCAAGGCTGTTAAAGATAGGACATTTTGGAGGTCATTAATTCATAAAGTGACCATATGTAAAAAATGATTTCATGGCACTTAACACACTCACGTATATCGCAAGTGTGTCCTGATAAATACATGCTCTGTAACGTGATGTTCAGATGGCTTAGCTACCTATTGGTCTCCAAATTCTTTCCTCCTGGCTTTGTTGCTTGTTAGTTTTGCCACTCTTAATTTTTATTTGCATTTCTTGTCCTCCTCCCCTCCCCGCAGCTGCACAGGAGTCCTATTAAAAAGGTCAGGAAATCCCTCGCCTTAGACATTGTGGATGAAGACTTGAAGCTGACCGTTTCCGCCATGGCCAAACCTGTGTGCTTCAAAAGAGCTCAGGTAAGCCATGATCAGGTGGGAGAGTAGGAAGAACTGGAGCCCACAGCTGTAAAATATGCATACGTAAACAGCTGGGTAGGTGTGCACTGAACAGATTCAGCTGCCTCTGCATAGCCTACCATAATTTTTCTTGTATTTATTCTATTAACAGATTTTTTTGTACTGCTAATCTTTGCAGTGTGTCTGTGAGCTCTTTAAGTTGTAAATAGTCCCCCACCCACCCTCCGGTTGTCTGAAATGCAATTGAGGGGGCAACGGATTTGATCAGGGCAGTGGTGAAAAGGGTGCCAAACCTCCAGTTTTTTAAAAAGTGGCCTACAGTCTGCTTCCCCTGCAGAGGAACAACAGAGGGCCTCTGTACCCACCCCCATTGGTGAGAAAGCTACTGGCGAAGTGCTGTTTTGATTGGGAAATGCTTTGCAGGAAATAGTGGATCAGCTTCCCCCAGTTCACTCCAACAATATGTGCAGGAGCTGCCTCACTCAACTGTATTTCAGTTTGTTTTTAAAGGCATGGTAGACTGTTTCAAGGGAGCTGCGGTGGCTCAAGTGGTTAAGACGCTGAACTGCAGGCTGTGGAAGGTTGGTAGTTCAGCAGTTCGAGACCCGAGTGTGCCGCATGACAGCGTGAGCTCCCGTCTCTAGGTCCAGCTCCTGCCAACCTAGCAGTTCGGAAGCAAGAAATTGCAAGTAGATAAATAGGTACCACTTCGGTGGGAAGGTAACAGCGTTCCGTGCACCTTGGTGTTTAGTCATGCTGGCCACATGACCACGGGAACGTCTTCGGACAGCGCTGGCTCTTCGGCTTTGAAACGGAGATGAGCACTGCAACCCTAGAGTTGGATTCGACTGGCTTTCGAGCAAGGGAACCTTTACCTTTACTAGACTGTTTCAAGGTCTCCCATATCTTGTTTAGTTTGACCTGTAGGTATCTCCGTGTTACTTTAGCTGTGATAGTTGGGTATACATTTGTAGGGCACATGCCTTAGTCCAGAAAAACATTTGTACTTGAGTGGCAGTGTGGTAGAAAGGAAGTATGAAAACCTTTTTAAGAAGTCACATTCCTCAGTTGCGATAGGAGAAGCTTACTGACCTATTCCAGCAGAGACCATCATATCATACCTACGAGGGTCATCTCCCCCCTCCACCCCCGAGCTGCTTTTCTTTCTCTAGTACCACAAGGGCTGATGGGGTTGTAAGCAAACCCTACAGGAAGGAAGTACCAAAAGTTCATGCTGAGGCAGCCACTTTCTGGGACAGTCATTTCTGTAAATGCCTTTTAGTACATTGGTGAGTGCACTATGTCCATTTTTAATGCATTCTCCTGGACGGCCAAAATCCTACAAAATCCCAAACGACTTTTAAAAACAATTGTGTATTTATGCCTCCTTAATTCTGATGTAATAATCAGTGCAGTTTTGCAGTAGTACAAATGGGATGCCAGAGGCTTGTTTCTCGCCCATGCTATGAAATAGCTGGACTTTGTTATGGTCACAGCAGGACTGCATTTTTTAATTTTTTAATTTATTTTGGCATTTTTACCCCGCCCTCCTCGCTGCTTTTCAAAACTGGCAATGCAATCCCAATCAGAGTTACACCTTTATAAACCCACTGACTTCCATGGGTTTAGAAGGATGCAACTCTCCTTAAGATTGCACTGTCAGTCATGTAACCTGCAGATGAAGGGTTCAGGTCCCTGAAGACAAAAGACTGGTGAACTGCTGGACTTGGTTAAGCGAAATGATTTCTTTGTGTCCCCAGGTTATTGGAGCAAGGCTGTGTATCTTTGTGTCTATGGTCTGTGCCACGTACATTTTTGTCCATGTGCAGAGATGCCTGGCATTTAAGTCTTGAACAAAGTTGTCTTACAAACAGCCTGATGTAATGCATGGCTACTCAGTATAAAGTTGTAATGCCTTTAATTGGACTTATTCCCAAGTATGTGTGCACAGAAGTCTAAAGCTGAGAAACATCCAGTATATTATATAGACTGAAGTGGTAGGGCGGCTGACTGACTGTACCACTTAAGGCTGCGTTAGCCGCAACACCGGGTCTGTTTGAGCTATGATGGGGGAATTTAGCTAAGAGACTGTTTGCTTAGTAGGTGCGCGAGCTAGGGATCACACTCCAACTATACCAGAGTCAGAACCCTCTCGGAGCGGCACAGGTGACAGACAGGAAATTCCTTTTATGAAATTTATTAAGAAAAGAACCCTAATACATTCAGCTAATCAATGAAATATCACACACACACACACCTCAGAGAACTAGGAAATAAAGAAATGAAGCAATCTTAAAGAGATCAGTGACAAAAGAGGGTGAAGTGTTGAGGGCGGAGGGGGTATAGCTTCCTGTCCAGATGTGCAGAAGTCCATGGAGAAGGGATTATGTCCCAAACAGAGTTTGGGGGTGCACTGCCAGTTGGCATCAGGGCAGAGACACCCTCTGAGACCATGTGCTTTGGAGGATATAGACATTGGAAAACAATGTGGACCAATGGGCGGCCTTGAGGGGTTTGTCTCAGGTGAAGACAAAAGGTTACCTGGACCAATAAGGGGTCCCAGGGGGTGTGACACCAGGAGGAGCAATACCTAGGTTTGACCAATAAAGTCCCAGAGGGGCAGAGTCTGGCTTCACAATAGTGTTGAGATTAGCCAGGTGATGGATGGCTCTAGTAGAGCTGGCTGAATGGGTTTGATGACCACTAATGGTCCTGCAAAGGCAGGTTGAATAGGTTCCTAGGCTTAGACAAAAGGTGTGAAATGGGTCCCTGATAGATGTCAGGGAGGACTGTTAATAATTTTAATGTTTGGTTTATCTCGGTATCCCGTGGGAGGGAGCAGGAAGGACAGGTGTGAAGACCGAGGATGTCCGCATAGACATAGGTATCACATAAAAGGGCTACGTGAAGTTCTGGAGACAGAAGGGCTATTCGCCAGGTGGCTACAGAATAGCTTTAGAAATGCAGATATTGTACCTGGTGCAACCCATGGTTATTCCATGTGCATACCTCTGCTGGGTGGAGGGGGAGATTGGAGATTGTCTCGGAGGGCTGCCTTGTGCAACCTGAAATGGAAACCCTTTTGCAGAGGTGTGGCTAGCTCTGTGTTTCAGAACCAAGAGTGCCTTCCTTGGCCTGAGTTTGTGGGTCTCTGGTTCAGGTCAGAAGTGGGGGGGGTGCTCCACTATTTAAGGCTACCCGCGAGTAAGGCAGCACCGCTGGGTAACAGCTGTGGGTAGAAGGCTGCATCTTTTTTAATGCTTCCCCTCTCCCATAGTATATGCAGAGAGTGTTTAAGCACATTGTGGTGGTGCTGGAGGAAAGTGGTGTGAAGTCACAGCTGACTTATGGTGACCCCGTGGAGTTTTCATGGCAAAAGCGCATTGTGGGGAGATACTGAAATATAGCTTGTTCCCTGAAGTTATATTAGTCTACTATATGCCCTTGTTGTTAATAAAACCCTTGTTGCTTTTCTTAGAATATTTACAACTGCTATTCCTTAGTCATAAAAGGAAAATAAAATCAATAGAAATGCCTCACTTTACTTTTCTTCTCTCACCCCCCCTCCCCTGACAAAAGGGAATGAATGAAGCATATATAGGAAAAGCTCCAAGATTCAGGGACAAATGGTCAATAGAAATGCAAGAGAAATAGTAAAAAACTCCATGCCACAACCTCCACGTGTCATCTGAATTGGTACAGTTCCTAATTCCATCGCTCAGTGGACCATTTCAAGATGGATAACGTATAGGAGAATACTCCACATTTCCTGTTTATAGGAGTCAGGGTAGTTTGGCAGGCACACTATTTGTCTCGGAGCCCAGAGGCTAGGGCCTAAAGTCCAGGTTGTTCACAGACTTACTAGGTGGCCTTGGACAGCCATTTGTGCATGGGCTTTTGTTAATGATTTGAAAAGCAGGGATATTAATGATCTGGCATAGAGTTATAAGAGTTTCTAAGATAAGCTTATATTAAATAATACCTTTTCTGAGCCATGGGGAATAAGAGTGAAAGATGTAAACACAAGCTTTTGTATGGCTGTGAATAATATGTTTTTTGAAGGAGAATTGGAACTCATGAAAAATTACAAAAGGGCTCTTATAAGCAATGAAGAGCTATAAGGATAAGGAGGGAAAGGCTATGGCCTATCTTACTGCGGTATATACATGTTACGTCTGCAGTATCACATGCAGCTCATCCGTATGCACAGGCAGACGATTCTCATGGTCCTTGGGCTGGGAAAGTTGCATGAATTTTTGGAACATGTATTTTCATTGTGCTGAAAACATTGGAGGGGCACACATCAGTGCTTGCACTGGCCCTACAGAGGGACTGTGTTATGAACTAGGCCCTAAATTCAGTGGCCCTTGATGAAGAATGATGCTGAGTAGCCAGTCAGAACCTGCCAGTCTGTTTTTGGCTGTTTTGCCATAGCCCTGTTAACTAGAAAAATGCCAGGAAGTAGATTCCCTAGTAAAGAGCCTGCCTTTGATTCAGTGGCATTATTGCACAGTAGTAGGCTTCGGAGTTCATTACCCACACATACCCACTGATGGTGACCTCTAGGTGACACAGCTGATAAGGGTATGAAGTTTATTGTTCTAATCACAGCTCAGATGAGTCATTAAGGAGCTCTCGCTCTGTGGAAAGCATCACATCATGATTGAAAGATAAGGGATGTCTGATTACATTAAGCACCTCTAGCTTTTTTTTTCTTTGTTTGTGGGAAGAGATGGAGGGAATTTAGGCAAGCTCATCTGAGTGGTATATTTTCTTACGACTGTTCCTCTTCTCTTGGTTGATTGCAGTCTGTGAGCTTCCTTTCCCAGTCCCTAAACCTGTCTGTGTCAAGCAGCAAGAATGAGAGCAGTGTGCTCAAGCGAGGGTTTGTTCAAGTAAAGACAGAGAAAGCACCGTCTTCCAAGAGAATCCAGAGCAAATACAGGCCACCAGCCCTGGTAAGCGTCACCTTGGCACTCTTGTGGCCACTTCCTAGCTCTCAAAACACAACAGTGTGGGAGCTAGTGGACAATGAGGATGATGTTGTGTGCGTTTCCCCCCCTCCCCCCCAAAGATCCAGTGCAGTTTGAAAGCCAAGGTGGAGAAAAACCTCCTGTGTATGTAGTTCTAGCCTGACACTACACCTTACTGTGATTTATACAGGCTGTCCAGAGTTCAGATTTTCTTAATGTGGTTTTTTTAAAATTTACTTTCATGTAAAACTAACTGAAGAAAAGTGTTTTAGCAAACTGCATATTTTATTTATTTAAGAAATTTGTATGTCACCTCTTTAGAGACCTACATAGTTGGAGGAGACCAGTGTTCCCTCTAAGCTGAGTTAAAGTGAGCTAGCTCACAGTTTTTTAGCCTCTGGCTCACACATATTTGTCTTAGCCCAGGAAGTATGGCTCCAGTGCAAACTAATATATGCAGTAGCCAAATCGCTCGCTCACAACTTTAATGCCAGTAGCTCACAAAGTAGAATTTTTGTTCATAAGACCCCCCCAGCTTAGAGGGAGCATTGGCGGAATTTAAGGCTCATAGTAGCCACAGAATTGGGGTTCCTTAAAGCAGAATATTATGAACTACTACTGAGTAAAGTAAACAAGTCCAAAAAAAGGAGCTAGTGCAGAAGACACTTTACAAGCCTGCCTTTGTGGCACATCAACATCCTGGAAAAGAAGTGCATTCTCACCAGCTTTCAAACCCCTTCTCTCTGAGACCAAGTGTGGTAAAGTGGTTAAGAGTGTCCAGCTGGTATCTGGGAGACTCGGGTTTGAATCTCCACCTGTGCCATGGAAGCTTGCCAGGTGACCTGGAGCCAATCACACACATTAAGGCTAACCTACATCACAGGGTTCCAGCTCCTGCCAACCTAGCAGTTCGAAAGCAAGAAATTGCAAGTAGATAAATAGGTACCACTTCGGTGGGAAGGTAACAGCGTTCCGTGCGCCTTGGTGTTTAGTCATGCCGGCCACATGACCACGGAAACGTCTTCGGACAGCGCTGGCTCTTCGGCTTGGAAACGGAGATGAGCACCGCAACCCTAGAGTCGGATTCGACTGGCTTTCGAGCAAGGGAACCTTTACCTTTACTTACATCACAGGGTTGTTGTGAGGATAAAATGGAGGAGAGGAGAATGATGTAAGCCATCTTTTGTCCCCCATGGGGGAGAAATCTGGGGTACAAATGAATTAAATAAGTAAATAAATTCTTTCCCTGCTTGTCTAGAGGCAATTCTGACTTGCCAAAGGCAAATGGTTGAGTGTTCAGGTTCAAGAGGCTTTTCTCAAACTTGCAGTCTTCCCAGGTTTTTTGTAGAAAGGCTCAGTGCTGGGAAAGATTGTTCTCTGCATGTAGATTGAGTGCCAATTAGCATAGGTCATACTGAGCTAGGTGACTCGATAAAAGGCGGGTTCATATGTTCATCTGTGCTCTCTCCCTTAGATGTCCAGTGCCTGGAAAACTGTGGCATGCGGTGGCTCTAAAGATCAGCAGATCATGCAAGACAAAGCTCGACAGATTTTGGGCGTGTTGAAACAGAACCACACATCACGAACACTGATCTTATCTTGAAGAACTCTGTAGCCTTTTATAGTTTATTTTTATATCAATGGGGCAAGGCCACAGGAAAATGAACTGTTCCCTCCCCACTTCCTTTCATTTGTTCTCAGTATTCTGTCAAGGAGACTTCAATTAATTGTTCTGAGTTCTAAATGGGTTGCAGTTTTGGAAATCTTTTGTAGAAGAAAAGATGCCAAGAGCTGGACAGCAGCCCAACATTATTAAAGATGAGGTATCACCACTTTCCTTGACAGTCCTCCTCTTCCCATTTCCATAAATGGAACCTGGCAGCTGTCTCGTCCTTGCTTTCAACTGATCTGCAAGACAGTGGTGGATCAGTGCTTGATAGAGAACCACCTTTGGAACTCTGGATTTGGTTTTGACCTCCCTGAGCGGATCCACGGAAGTGCAATTCTCTAAAGTCCCTGCTGGTTTCATCGGTACAATCATGTATTTTGCTCTTCTTGTCTTTTTCTTGATGGGTAACTGGCAGTGGATTGGGACAGAAGGAAGAACACCTGTTGCACAGTATCCACTGTTCTGCTCATTAGACTGAGGGATAATATGTAAGAGTAGGAATAATTTCTTCTCTGGAGCATTGCAGTCTGTTAGTAATAATAAAATCACATCTTCTAAAGTGGCCCTAGCATGCCTGTGTTCCCTTATTCAGATCTGACATCATGTGCTATAACCATGTAGATTGCAGTTTTGTAAAAACTATAAAAGTAAGGGAACTGAGAAACCTGGCCCACCACAGAACGTCTTAGCTGATTCTTATTCTGAATCGTATCAGCAATATGTAAGGGTCTCTTGCTGTCTTGCAAGGACCCTCAAGAGGCTTGTGTAGCTTATTTCCATTAGGACTGTTAATTCATTAAACATTTTTAATTGGCTTAAGCAACTGACTTCTACCCATTTAATCTCAGAATAGGTACATTTTTGAGATTAGTTTGTTATGCCAATAAAGGTTATTGGAATTGGAGATTAGTGGAAACATGAAATCACTTGGTTTAATAAATAAAAGATGCCACTCAGGTTTGGAAATCAATGGTATGTTTAGCATTTTCATTCTTTACACCAAAATCAGTATAGTCCCCCAAACAGTAAAGTAGGACCTTAACTCTATTAATCACCAATTTTAAAGCCAGTACTTAATGACAAATCTATATGAAGTTTAGTGTGCCTTCTGCACAGTTACCAGAGATGGGACCTACTGATAAACTTTAGGAAGGGGTAAGCCATGATAGGAAAATCTTGAAAGGAATGCTGAGACTTGAGGAAATAGAGTCATGAAATACAGGGGTAAAAGTCACTTCACTGAATGCTGGTGGAACTATTGAAACTCCACTGGAATTTAATGCTGCATGATTCAGTGAGATCTGTTGTAGCTTTAAATTTCTTTGAATCAGCAATGGAAAGTGGATAAGAGGTTTTTGGTCAGACTGGTAAACTACAAAACAGGGATGGAGATGGAAAAGATTTTTGTTGGCTGAAATACTGTCTTGAACAAAGAAAAGGTGGGATATAAATGTTTTAATTAAAAAATGATAAACTATGCAGGACTCATATTTTCTTGTGTAAACATTAAGGATAAAGGATGGGGAAAACTATATTGTATTTTGAACTCCACCAGATGGTGCTAACGCCAACCCTTTCATTCCAGCTCAGTTTAACAGTCTGATAAGATTAGATCTGAGGAATGGGCAAGCAGCTACCTGAAGGCAGGTGGGTTATTCTGGGGAAAATACTTTCCATTATTGCATCACATTTGCAATGGCAGCAGGAGATACTGGGAAGATGTGTGTGAAAGTGAAGGCATTGCATATATCCCAGTGCAATACACACAAGATAAGAGCCCTCTTCACAAGTTATAGTGAAGAATGCATGTACAACTGGTGTACAGTTGTTTCTTCTCTATGTGCATTGAAGTAATTCTCATGCTATAGTCAATGCATACACAGATGAATGTGTGACTGAAACCCCACATTTATTCAGGTACTGATTGCCTGTTTAATTTGTAAAGTATACATACATTGGCTGTTTCTACATGCAGGATGTATGTGTGGTCATTGTAACATGTGAACAAGGATTCTTTATTCTTTAGAAGCTATGTTAAGGGCAACTTTTTAAAGGCGCTTTTAGACTTCAGCTGGTAGTTTGGGGCTGCTTCTACTGGGTTACATCAGCCTAAGCAGATCTCCAGAGCTTTTCCACTTTAATGGTCTCGGCTAACCTGGACTGACCTAAAATGGCAAGCAAAACAGTTCTCTAACATGCAGTTCAGAATAAATGTACTTTTATTCTCTAGGTATCTGATATCCTGGTTACTGTGATGCTAATTCTGTAGAATGAGATCATCGTATTAACTGGACCAGTTCTACATGCCTAAATTGTATAGCAGACCACCATACCAGCTTTCCACTGTATAGAGTTATTTCTCACATATGCAGGTATATGCCTAAAAATGTAAACATCTGCATTGCACAAGTGCAGTAGTCAGGAAGCAGGTATGGGCTACATCTCTGCTGAGTCTTGACTGGGTGGCTGATCCAGGCTTCTAATTAGTGTGTGAAATAGCCATCCGAGCCAGTTTGGATGTGAGAAAGCCAAGATCCATGACCCACTCAGGACTGCTTTACCATTACATATGTACCTATATCCTGCAAGCTTGAGATCTAATACATGGTGGTTTGTAATGCATATTTTGATACAGGCGCATTCCACAGGGAAATTCCAGTTGGCTAGGATTTCTTGTAGCAACTACTGATACAGGGAAAAGCATTCTCCTTCCTCGTTTCTTGGGAGAACCCAGTACTATAAAGCTTAATGTGGTGTCCTTAGGCAAATCATTTCTCAGCCTAGTGCACATCAAAGGGTTGTCATGATCCGAAATGCAGTTCTGAGCTTCTTTGAGAAAGGATGGAATCTAAACGGGATGTGGGCAGCCTCCCGGAGGAACATACTGGTTTGTTAGGCTATACATGTCAGTTTAGGGGGAAGTCAGAGAGGTTTTCTCCCCAAAGGATTATGTTGCTGATGATTATTTCAAAACCCTCTCAGGATTTACAGAGTCTTGGCTGTATCTCTAAATAAAATTACCATTCATGGTAGAAGTCGAGTCTGGTTTGATTTGGAGTTGGCTCTAAATTAAAAGATTATGAGGAAAGTATTAAAAGCTATTTCTAATCCTGTAAATCTGATTCTACCAGCGTGTTCGGCTATGTGTTTATTGCTTATTAAGGAAGATCTAGTGCTGAGCAAATTTCAGGGGAAATGAGCAGAGAGCCCGGCTAATGACAAAGACAATTAACTTTTAATTGGAAAGCTAAGACATTTCCTGTCTGGAGCACATGCCCAGCTTTGTTATCCCTGAGCTAACACCTGTAGAATAGGCTATAGCTTTGTAAACCTGGTTATTTGTAGATTATCATGGCGGCTGAGCAAGAGCACAATATGGATAGATACATCTGTTAAGACATTTTTAAAGAAAACCGTCCCCCCCAAACACCCATTTATCAGGTGCTAATGCTGTATGCTTGTCACCACTTGGTAAGCTGTTTACCCAAACCATTCTGTCAAAGTAGTGGTTTGCATTTTATGGCTGCTCTAAAAAGTTTTTACTGGTGAGGGTGTGCATTAAAATTCTTGGTAGGACATCAGAAATGCCAGGCTTACCAGTGTCTTGGGTCAGTCTGGAAAGGAGGACTCCTCAGGAGAAAAGTCCTGTGTAGCCAGCTCAGAAGCAGCAGAAGCCGGCAAGCAAGAAGAGGAACTGCAGGCTCACAGCCACCAGCACCTTTCAGCCCCCTTCCAAAAGATGAAACCCAGGTGGTCATTACCAGCCCTCCAGTTTTACCCACACCCTTTGAGCCCTGGAGACGAAGAGTTAGAATGGAGCTCCCGGAGAGAAGAAAAAATGCACAGTCTCCTGGCCTGATGCCAGCTGCTTGCTGCTGATGAGTAGCTGCAGGGTTACTCCCGAACTGTTGGCTGCAAGTTAAGACCTTGCAACAGGTGCTTATAAAAGCCAGTCATGGGAGACTACTTGGTGCTTATTAGGATCATGAGTGGAACATTTTTGAAAAAGCAAACGTATGCATTTGAACATTTGGACTTATTATTCTTCGAGTTGACTTTGAATGGATATGGTTTTGAATGCTGTATTACACATGGTGGAATAATAATTAACTGTCTTGAAAAATTATGGTTGCAATTGTAAGCGTTTATTGTGAAATATTCAGATATTTTTGATTGTACTGCACTGTTGATATGATAATACCCTACAATAATATACATTTTTTAAAGATATTTTTATTTGACTGAAATTTTGCATCTTCTGATCAGGCAGCTCCTCACTTATTTGCTTTCTCTGGGTTGGTTTGCTGCAGACTAGTCGTGTGGGAGGAACACAGTTTGGAATAAAAAGTAACTTTAGTTGGGTATTTCAGCTAAAGGAACACACACGTTAGAACTATGCAAACTGAATGGTTTTTATTAGTTTCTATCTCCCCTTTTTCATACTGATTTCTTGTTTTCTAGTTTCTAGGGTAATAAAGCTACATGCTGGGGAAGTGCTTGTCTTTCATCCTGTATCTGTTATTTATTGTGCTAAGCTGAGTGTTGGTATATACAATAGACCAAAAGGTGCCACGTTTATCCCTAGACTCCTGTTTTGGGTCTTTCACATGCGGAGGACAGTCTCATGTTACAGGCCTGACATGGGGACTGATTTGGTAGCAATGTACTTCTTCAGAGTTCCACTTTTATCTTGGGGGAAAAATTCATTGAAAAACAATTGTGCTCACTTACTAATTCAAACCTAATACAATAAACAAATATGCACATCTACCTCTTGATCTCCCTTGTAGGTGCAAGGTTTCTCTTCCAGCAAGAGGCCAATATAGAGATGGTAGTGAAAAAACAGCTATTTGGACTGTTGCCACTGCTCTTGGACTGCCCTGAGAAAAGATCTGCTTTTTCCTCCATCTGAAAGCCAATTGGCAAAAACCCTG